GGACTGGGGTTGTTCAGATAACTGATCTTGTATGAAAAAATATATTAACCTATCCCCTGTTGAAATTTTTCTCCATTGTGTGTCGCTTCGCGTTGGATTTTTGTCGATGTTAAGCCTAATGAAAATTTTTAATAATAATAATTGTGGCTATTGTATCAGTAATTATTTCTTTATTTTGCACAAACAAAATAAATATATTGAAAAATATAAAAACAAAAAAAATTATATTTCGGAAGTTAATCCAATATTAAAAACATCCCGACTCAGCATGACACGTGTCCTGACACACAGTCCTCAGAAAAACATCACACAAAACAAGCAAAACTCTTTCTTTTTCATGGGTTTATCTGGAGATGTCAGCCACTTGGGCTATATTCTCCGACGAGCTGAAGCAAAGCACACCACTCATGATGCAAGGTCCTATAGCTCACAATATACAAGAATATAGCTCACGATGGGAAAAAAAGCCTTGTTCAAATACTGGCGCATCCTTAAGTACCCTCTTGATGTGTATGAATCAGAATGTTTTTGATACTAAATTAACTTCCGAATTATAATTTTTTTGTTTTTATAATTTTCAATATGTTTATTTTGTTTGTGCAAAATAAAGAAATAATTTTTAACAATACAATATGGTTGCACCAGTGCTGTCAGCTAAAACACACACCAACAAAAATAATATTGCAGTAGACCAAGACATAGCCAAATATTGCAGCGCCACAGCACTAGCAGAAATTTGAATTTGCCGACTGGATCGCTTTCGGTTAACCGGTTGATTTGTATTCGGATAATCTATGCTCTACTGTAATCAACTTTCTTTGAATACTCAGCACTAGTTATCTAACTAATCTATGTAAGGCAAATTGACATCACTTTGTTATATTATTCTATATAATTTGTTTTTTAGAACTAGATTCTTAAAATTTAATTCTGCCTCAGGTTAATTTTAATTCCAACAATATCTAATATTAACAAAGACCTTGTATCTGTTTATCCCTCATGTGACCTTAGTTTCGCTGACAAGGTTATAAATCATTCTCAGAATATAATGTCTTGCTCTGTAATGATCATTATATCAGGAAGTGATATTTCATAAAAAAAAATTTGTCACTACTTATGCAAAGCCACTCATATGTCATTGTTATTTTATTTATATTCTATTCAGATATTTTTCTAGCCTTTTTTAATACAATAATATTTAGCTAATTATTTTTTACATTACTTTTATTGTTTATAATATCTTATTTAGGCTTTATTTCTGAGTTTAACATGATTAAAGATTTTACATTTCAAAGATGGATTGATTTTTCTGTGGTAAAAAGAATTGTGACATTAAGTGAATCAGTTATGCTACATGTATTAGTTTAATTAATTTATTAAATATTATTTCATAAATAATAATATTTATTAAAAGCATATGACAAATATTACATTTATCTAATGTTTCAGTGAAAGTTAAAATTTATAGTTATTTTTTCACAAACGAATATATGAGAACTATTTTATATTTACTTTTTTATTAAGCATGATTATAATTTGAGATCTTTTTTTAAATTATAACAAAATCAGATATGTGATGAAAAATTATATTATCATATTTTAATTTTTTAATATCATATGATTGATTTTTTTCTATTAGTTTTTATTGAAATTTTAGAAAATTATTTAAATTCTATTTTTTTAAAATAAAATGCTCATTTTTTAGATAAGATCAGTTCCAAAATTACTGCGTTTAATCTGGGACAATTTTCCTTTACATTATGATAAAAAGCATGGCTGGGGCTATTTGGTTCCAAATTGGTGTGGTCCAGAAGAAATTTATTCTGAAAATCAGGATAATATATTTCCTATAAAGTAAGATATATATTTATTAAATTGTAATTAATAGTGATAATACTAAACTAGAGAATAAAGAGAAAAGAAGTATAAAGAAACGAAAGTAAATATAAAAGTATTACAATAGAGTCCTGGAAATTCAACTCCTGGTAACTCAGAATTATGTAAAACTTGTTGTGTCTGTCACAAAAAAATACATATAATCTAATTTTTATCTCTATAACTGAACACTAGGGTCAACTAAGTTATCATTCTTCACTGGCAACACTTGATAATAGCATCAATTCCATATGTTAACAAAGAATATTACCCTTTTTCTAAGGTACCACTGCAAAACACTGTGACATAAATATCACTAATCTGAAAGTAGTTATTGAATAGACAATATTTTTAATAGACAATTTATAAATTAAAATTTAACTACAAATTGAAATAATCAGTATTGACACATTCACTAGCAGAAAGTGAAATTCCAACACCAAGTAAAAATTAATTTAGAGGAATGAAATTCAGGCAAAGCATTTGTCTAGGTAACACATTTATTGTATATATGCGTAGATAAGATGATAGTTGAATCATTAAAAAATGACTCCAAAATCTGAGGTCGTCTTATAGGACATATACAAAAAAAATTAGATTGAAATTTAAATAAATTAAAATCATTATAAAAAATGGAAAAACCGTAATTATTTACTAGTAGAGAGTAGGGTATGACCACAAAANTGATTCAATATATATGATTGGAATAGTGTTTAATGCATTTAAGAGAAGACAGATGTTACGTGTTTTTCCACATGTAGCCTGGAAGATTTCTAGTTCATTTTCGAAATTGTAGTACTTTTGCTCTCTAGTATTCCTAATTTGTCTACCTCTAGTATTCCTGTTTTAATAGAAACATCAAGCTTATAGCCCAATAATTCAGCAGTTCTTTTGTCTTTAATAATCAGGTTTATGAAGAAAAACTTCATACTTGCAAATTTCATACTCGCTTGTATCCTTGCCCAATTTGCACAACCTGGTGTTACGCAGTTATTGAAGCTACTATGCATGGTTAAAAATTAAGACAGCATAAGCACAATTATTCCAGATATTACATGTTCTGACAAGTAAAGAATTTTCAGAGTCCTGTCACAAATAGGTTACATATTGATTATTGACAATCTGTGACATGCCATAATGAGGAAACATTAAAAAACTAATAAGTAGGTTTAAAATTAATAAATACAAATGTATTCTGACAGTGTATGAGTTAATTATACTTTCTATTTGCAAAATTTCCTTGACCTAAACACAAAATAAGAAAAAAGTGAACTTTTAAAAAACTTACTGAACTTACTGCACATTAATATCCAAATGCTTTCAGCCTATTCTTATAGGCCATCTTCAGGAAATTATCGTTCCACAAACGAACAAAGCTTTCGAACACTCGTAAATTTAAAGTTTTCAAAAATTTTTTAAAAATTATTACATTAAACGGTTAAATTTTAAATAAACAACAAATTACTAATACATTATGTAACCAAACAAATGTAAAAATAAAATACTATATTGAAAATACATTAAACTAGTTAAAGCATAACTGCCATATCTTTTTATGGGTTTTTAACTCCCATTTCTTTTTCTATTACGTATTTCCAGGCCATTGGGAGAGCATTTGTGTCTTTTGTATTTAAGCAATTATTGTTCACTTTACCCTTATATATTTCTATCTTCTCCATACCTAATGCAATCATTGGAGAATGGACTGTCTTAACTATTCTCGCTTCATCCCTTTTCACATTTGCTCCTTCTGTTTGTGCCATGACTGCCAAAACTGTGTTATTATGCCCTTTATTCACATCATATTTGTGCTCTCTTAAACATATTGCCAAGTTTCTTCTAATGACCCCAATATAATTAACAAATGCAAATAAGACTAAGCAAATGGTAATTATGGAAAGAAGATATAATGAAGCCATTAAGGATTATATTAGAAAGACTAAATGTGATATTGTAGATGAAAGAATTATAATGGTAACAGACAACAAGGTTAAAAAACTTGAGAGAACACCACTCACAATATACCTGCCATTCTTAAAAACGTCACATAATTCTAGCCCCTGAATGCCCAGAATTTTTGCATTTGCAAAAACGCATAAGGAGAACAAAGAGATTTAGCAGGTAGTTGAAAAATGTAATGCACCAACGTTTATACTGGAGAAGTGATTAAAAAAGTACAACTATGAGGAAATGGAGATTAATATGTACCTGGTACATGATCCAAATAAACTGGTAAAGGAATTACAAGATTTGGCTTTAATGAACGATGAAGTAAGGACAGCATGGACCCATTTATGAATTTTGAAAGCATGTACCCATCCGTGAATCTAACTTCTTGCTTCAATGCCCTTATTGAATTTATGATTCGGCATAATCCAGGGTTATCAGTATATATGGAGGACTTTAATAAGCTAGCAGATTTGATGTGCTTCCATTCATTTTTGGGATTCAATGAAGTAATGTACAAACAGAAGAAAGGTGTCCCGATGGGAAGTCCCATGTCAGGGCTCTTATGTGAGTTGGTAGTGCATCAACTGGAAAGGGATGTCCTAGGAATATTCGGAGAGGACATTATATTCTACAAGAGATATCTGGATGAGGTGTTTATAATTTGGAAGGACAGACAAAGGATTGAAGAATTTTTAATTGCAATAAATGACAATTGTCATGGGTTAAGGATAAAGCTGAAACAAAAAAGCCATACGCATCTACATTTTCTGGACATTAGTATAAGGTTTAAAATGTAACAAACAGTATACAAACAGCCGTGTACTTAAAACCCACGCTTGCACCACTGTATATACCAACAAGGTTGAATGATCCGTTTAGGTATGAGATATCAGCGTTCAAGGCATTTATTAAAAGAGCGTTCTTGTATTGCACTAATGTGCATGATTGACTTAGGGAGATAAGTAGAATTAAGAAAGTGGCAAAAGGTTTAGGATTCAGAACAACTGCAATCGAAGGATTGATCAAGAGTTACAGACAACGTGGAAGAAGACGAGATAATAGAAGAGATAGGATCAACAAGTTCACATACAATAGGAGTATGGAGGGAGTGATGGAAGAATTATGTAGATATAAAAACACGAAAACGGTGTATGAAAGAGTGCCAAACATATACAGACTGCTAAGGAATGATAAAGACGAAGTAAGAATGCAAGATAAAGCTGAGGTCTATAAAATTCCTTTTGAGAATCAGCAGTTGGGAGTGACAAAAGATTATATTGGGGTCATTAGAAGAAACTTGGCAATACATTTAAGAAAGCACAAATATGACATGAATAAAGGGCATAATAACATATGTGAAGCAGTCATGGCATGAACAGAAGGAACAAATGTGAAAAGGGATGAAGCGAGAATAGTTAAGACAGTCCATTCTCCAATGATTGCATTAGGTATGGAGAAGATAGAAATATATAAGGGTACAGTGAACAATAATTGCTTAAATGCAAAAGACACAAATGCTCTCCCAATGGCCTGGAAATACGTAATAGAAAAAGAAATGGGAGTAAAAAACCCGTAAAAAGATATGGCAGTTATGCTTTAACTAGTTTAATGTATTTTTAATATAGTATTTTATTTTTACATTTGGTTGGTTATATAATGTATTAGTAATTTGTGTTTATTTAATATTTAACCATTTAATGTAATAATTTTAAAAAATTTTTGAAAACTTTAAATTTTAGAGAGGTTGAGGCGCATGTTTTAAACGTGTACGTGTGACGTTTGGCGCCGCTTTCCCGTAAGCCTAANCGCACGTTTTAAACGTGTAAACGTGTACGTGTGACGTTCGGCGCCGCTTTCCCGTAAGCCTAAAAGTTTTACGATGGTGTTTGGAATGTCGAGTGTGATTCCACCGACTATCCAAACACCATTGTCAAACTTTTAGGCTTACGGGAAAGCGGCGCCAAACGTCACACGTACACGTTTAAAACGTGTGCCTCAACCTTTCTTTTATGTGTATTCGAAAGCTTTATGTTCGTTTGTGGAATGATAATTTCCTGAGAATGGGTTTATAAGAATAGGCTGAAAGCATTTGAATATTAAATTGCAGTAAGCTCAGCATGTGTTCTGGTGTTTAATTTAGTTGTAAGTAAACCACTGAGGAAGTGGGGATAGTTTTATATGGTATTTGATTGAATTTTTAAGGTCACAGGTTAAAGTATGTGCGAGAAGATTCATTTCAAATGTGAAATAGTGGTACATTAATAACTGCTGTAGTTGTCACGATTTTGAATGCAAGCATGCAAACGTGCATGCATTGTGTCGTACAGGTGCCATGTGTCATTTTGTGAGATGGAGAGCCATGCCTGTTGCACTTGGTCAGTGAAATCAGCAACAGTTAATGCTTGTTGTGGGTGACGTGGAATGTGTCGTCCAATAATGTCCCATACGTGCTCGATGGGAGAAAGATCTGGTGATCTTGCAGGCTAAGGCAACATGTCGACACTCTGTAGAGCACATTGGGTGACAGCAGCAGTATTGAGGATGAACATTATCCTGTTGGAAAATATCCCCTTGAATATTGCTCATACATCCCTGCCAAGTCTTTCTGCAATAGTGCTGAAAGAAAATCCACTTTCTTGTAGTCCTATTACATGACCTCATTCAAACTCAGTAAGCTGCCAATACTGCCTTCTTTGTCTCCTTAAAGGCATTCTTGACTCAAACCTTAACTCACAATGTTCATTCCAGACAATAAATAACACTCAACAAATTTACATCCTGTATTTACAGCAAATGTGATTTGCATGTTCATAGTGGTGCTATTCGTGTCACTCTTATTTGTCTGGCATGAAATTTGAATAGACATCATCTCTCAGATATGAAAAAATGCTACCAAGTTTCATTTATCTAGCCAAACTTTTTTAACCGTCGACCCTCAACCACTTTCCAAAGCCTCACATTGACCCCCCACCGTAAAGTTTTACTACAAATGTATGTGTATGAGCCAAAAAAAACGTTGTGGTCTCTGT